TTCTCTGCTAGCCAGAGGACTACAGCCCTTCGCCCTTCAATGAGATCTGAATCTCCATTTGGGGAGGAGGGGAGAGGGCCCTTTTCCAAATATGTTCTTTTCGTGGGTAGTGTAACTCAGTCTTATGTAGTGGCTACTCCTTGTATCTGCTATTCCTATAATTTGAGGAGTTCTTTTAATCCTTTATAGTAGTTAATCTTCTAGTTAATACTATTCGTTAATAATTCTTTATATTAAACTTTCTTTGTTCAAATACTGTATAATTTCTGTATCCTGACTGGACCTTGATTGATACATCGATGTCCAACAGAAATGTATATAAGATATGTCCAAGATATTTCATAGTAGCACTATGGAAATAGCCAAATTGTCCCTCACCAGAGAACAAATAAATCGTAGTATATTTATGCAAGGAAATGTTACGCAGCAATAAGAGTAAATGAGCTACAAATACACACAGCAAAAAGCTGAAATGACAACATCGTGTTGAGCAAAACCAGCAGAAACAAAAGAAATATACTGCATGATTCCATTTGTGTAAAGTGCAAAAGCAGACAAAACTTATCTTTGGTGCCAGAAAGTCAGACTAGGGCTTGCCCTTGGAGAGGGTTAGTGACTGGAATGGGGTACAGAGCTGCTGGAATGCTGGTACTCATTTATTTCCTAACCTGAGTATTGCTTATACACCACTGTTTATGCAAATTCACTGAGCAGTACATTTTTGCTGTTTACGTTTTTAAAATTAGTCAAGTTAAAAATATCATATATTCACGAGGTGTGAATTATTTGACTACGTCAAGCTGATTCATTCGTTCACTGAATAGAAAGTATATGCACATATCATGTACCAGTCACCATGTGTAAGATGCTGAGACTCTAGAGATAGATTAGTTATTTCTGGATCCTGTTCATAAAAAGCTTAGTCTAGAGTGGGAGACCAACATGAAAGCAGATAACTGCAGTGCAACATGATTAATGGATTAGTCAGGTCATGGAGGAGTCCTAGAGGTATAAAGAAGGGAGCGGAGCCATAAGTGGTTCGTTGAAAAACTGATGGGTGCAGTGGCTCACACCTGTAATCCCAGCGCTTTGGGAGGCTGAGGCAGGTGAATCACCTGAGGTCAGAAGTTCGAAACCGGGCTGGCCAACATACTGAAACCCCCGTCTCTACTAAAAATACAAAAAATCAAATAAAATTAGCCAGGTGTGGTGACGGGGACCTGTAATTTCATCTATTCTGGAAGGGGAATTGCTTGAACTGGGAGTCAGAGGTTGAAGTGAGCTGCGATCGCGCCATTGCACTCCAGCCTGGGCAACAAGAACAAAACTCCCTTCACCCACAAAAAAGAAAAGCTACACACAGAAAAGTGACATCTTAGCACAGCACCTTCCTCCTGCACAACATAGAGATATCTACTTGCTCTACTGTCCTCTCCGGTCACCATGAAAGGACGAACAGGAGTTGGCTAAAGAGAAAAGGATATTCCAAGCAAACAGAGCAGCATATGCACAGATAGGAATTCTGAAAGTTACTGTAAACTCAGAGAAGAGAGTGAGTTTATGTGGGTGGAGCCCAGGTAGCCCTAGGGAGAATGACACAAGATAAAACCAAAGAGGTAAACCGAGGCTCGACTGTGATGTTTATATGCTTTCTACTAAGTGTGACTTTTACACAAGGAATCAAGGAACATTGTATAGCTAGACTTCAAAGTCGCCCCTCCCACACAGACACAACAGATGTCTTTGTGAGTTTTCTGCCACAGTGAATCAGGCTTGGTCCTTTGGAATCAATAGAGTATGGTACAAGTGGCACTGTGGTGACTTCAGAGGCCACCATGGCTCCTGCCTTAATATCTTGGAATGCTTGTTCTAGGGGAAGCAAGTTACCACTTAAGAATTCCAGCTATCCTGAGTCCAACATGCTGTGAGCAAGCACAGCCTAAGAGACACTATGTGAAGAGACCTGCCATCTCGGGCATCAACCCTTCAGAGAACTCCAGCCCCAGCCCACCTCTGACTGCAACTTCATGAGGACCCAAACAGAGAACAGAGCAGCTGTGTGCTGAGCACCGCCAATGCACAGAACCTGAGTGAGAAATATAGAATTTGGGCTTTTTTGTTTGTTTGTTTTGCTTTGAATCACTACAGTTTGGGGTGGTTTGTCATGTTGTACTGCACAATTGGAACACACATCTTGGAATAGCAATGGGACGTGAAGATTCTGGGTTTGTTTTTGGAATGAGTGTGGAGGATGGGTTGAAGAACGTTGAGGCTGAAAGTACCAAGATGTGAGGAGGACTTTAGAGAAGAAATGGATGTCAATGGGAATGTAAAAGAAAGGCTGGAATCTAGAGATACTTCTGAGGTGGAACTCACAGGATATAAAGAGCAAATAAATGTGCAGTGGGAAAAAGTGGAAGACCAAAATCTTTCGGGGTTTTTCCTAAAGAGAAGAGGTAGAGTACAATGTTCTTAATAGAAATAAAGGCCTATTAGGGAGGGTAGATAATGAAATGTGCATGCCCTGATGGCGAAGAGTTTATAGGGAAATATTAGTGAGGATTCCAAAGACACTGGAAACTCAGAGGACACAAGGGAGATGGGGCTGTACATAGACATACATGAAGGTTCACTGTTCCATATGGCAATGGTGGAAGCTCCAGAGGTGAAATCCCCAAAAGAACGTTTCGGGGCAATAAAAGGAGGGAATCAATGACGGAAGGAGAATCAATGATGGAATCTCTCTGAAAGGAGAACCCAGAATCTGCATTTTAACAAGATCCCCAGGTGATTAACATGTGCATTAAATTAATACTCATTGCAGTAGGTCAAGACAGAAATGTGGAGGAAGGAAGATACAGAAGTCGTGAAGATATTACAGTACTCGGATCATTTTTTTCTTGTTCAATCACCTAGGCGTGCTTTGGTTTTTATCTGAGATGTAATGAGAAATGTTTAGAACATCCTTTAAGGGCTTCCAAATTCTTGGAGTATGTGGAAAATGAAGGTTTGTGTGATGAGAAGTCACCTCTAATGAAATCCAGATGAAACTCCAGATCAACCTTCCTCTTGGCAGGATTACCTACAGTGGAGGTGGAGATATTATTGCTTCAGCCTCACTCCCAGATAGTCTACTTTATTTGGTCTTGGGTAGAACTGGTGCTACTATATGCATGTATATATACCAGTTATATATATATATGCATGTATATACATGTGTGTGTATATATAAATATAACATACGTACATATGCATGTGTATATATATAACTGATATATATACGTGTGTGTGTATATATACACATATATATACATATATATCTCCTGTGTGAGTCTATTATGCTGCCAGGATTGAGAATCACTGAGAATTCAAGTAAAGCAGTGGCTCTCAACCATGTCTGTACATTGGAATCACTTGAAGAACTTTAAAGATGACTGATAGCCAAGTCCTGCCCTCAGCAATTCTGATTTAATTATGCTGAGGTGCAGCCTTAAAGGTTATCTATTGATATTATTTCTAATCCTAGCTCTTTAAGGTACTCCCTTCCTTTACCTCAGTGGTTCTCAAACTTAACTGCACAATCAAATCACATGGGGGCTTTGAAAACTGCCCATGTCCAAGCACTTCTACTGGCAAAACTGCCTGTGTCAGCAACCAGATCTTTAATGGTGAAAAAAAGGCACACTTCCCTCTTCTTCCAGTGGAATTCTCATAGCAGTTACAGTCTGAGTCATTCAACGTGACCCTTAATTACTCAATCAACAAATGTTTGTTAAGCACATATTATGTACATAAGCTAGTGCTGCACTGCTCTTTATTTGTAAAATAGGTTTGTCCACCCAGCAAGACTTGTTTTTGATGGAAACGTGTTTACACTTCCTTTCTGCTTCCCGGTGTCTACTATAAAAGGTTAGCATTACTGCTCAGTATTTTACCACATCAAATATTTAAGTTGTAATTGAATCCCACAGCAATAGCAAAGTATGTGGTACAAAGCTAAGTAGGATTTTGGAATACTATATTGTTTTTGCTATTTCCTGTGAGACATGAACACTCTGCAGTGTTTCTTGAGATCTGCAACATAGTTCGGAATGCTTTTTCCCAATCCATGGCTGGGAGACCACACTGGAATCATGAGGTACTCGTTATCAAGTGCAGATTACTGGGCCTCACTTTAGACCTACTAAGTCAAAATCCCTGTGTATGGGTTCTAGAAACCTGTATTTTTAGCAAGCACTCCAGGTTCTAATTCTAATGCATTCTAGAATTTGAGAACTGCTGCCTTAAAAAGGTGAGCAGGAAAAAAACTAACATGAATAAAATGCCTACTACCTGTGAAATTCAGTATTTAATGAGCGTCTGCCTTGAGTCTGCACAGTGCTGGCACATTACAATGAATTAAAGAAAGTCCTGGGGCACATGTTCTCAGGATCTCTTGAGAGCCTTGGGTGAGAAAAATTAAAATTAAAAAAAAAAAGGAAGGAAGGAGGTAGGTTTGTTCTTAGAGAGGGAAGAAAAGAAAGAAAGGATCCTTACCCTAGGGTAGCTAACAGGGTCAATTAGTGTGCTGGGTGCCTCATCAAGAATGAGAATATAAAAGCAATATACTTAGTATGTTAGGCTTTTCAGAGACCATATCTTTTAATTCTCACAACCACCAGGTGAGATAGGCATTCTTGCTCCCCTCTTCACCTACGGTGAGATTGAGGCTCAGAGAAGTTGCCTAAGATTCCACCTCAGAACCTCTGAGTCCCACTATTACTAGAGGTAGACACGTAAGTTGAGATGAGTTTCTACTTTCACTTAGTTCAGGAAGCAGAGTTGGTTCAGATGCTAGAACACTTCCAACGAACAGTCACAGCTTTGTAGTTCTAGTGCAGCCGCCACCGGCAAGTTCGTTGAGACACTAGTGGCCAAGTTACTTTCTGCGCTCTGGGCAGTCTCGTAAGAAACACCGACAGCATTGGGACTTCACTTCCCAGCAAGCCCTGCGGCCGCCTATCACGCGAGGCATGCCGTACACCTCGCCCCTCTGTCCTCTCCGGCGGAGCTGCCTAGCGGAAACGGGAACTACGCAGCCAGACGTAAAGGCGCACGGCATCCTGGGACATGTAGTCTGGCCGGTGCCCGGACGCCCCCTCGAATGGATGGGACCGAGGCTGACTGCGAACTACAGCTCCTTGTCGGCAACGTTGGTGTTGGCCGCGGGGGAAGGGGAGACCTCGGCGGCCCCCACTGAGAGCGGCTCTTCAGGACGGTGCGATGTGCTGCGCTGCGGCGAGGCAAGAGGCCGGCTTCCTGGGGTAGCGTTATAGGCGGGCGCTTCCTCTGCGCGCTCCCTCCCCAAGCCCTGCACCGGCCATGCGCCCGGCCTTGGCGGTGGGCCTGGTGTTCGCAGGCTGCTGCAGTAACGTCATCTTCCTAGAGCTCCTGGCCCGGTGAGTGACCCGCTCGGGCCGCACCCGGTCTCCCGGGGCGGGTCGGAGGAAGCCGCGGGTCGGAGGAGGGGTGCCCCCGGGACGCGCCCGCGCCCCGTCCCACCCCGCCGCCCACGGAGCTCGAGGTGGGACGGGACGGCCTGAGCCCCCCAACAATTCGTCCTGTCTGGGCAGCCTGGGACCCCGCTGAGTCCGCTGCTTCCCAAAATTGCGCACCGGCCGCAGTCCCGCCTGACAGTTTCAAAGCATCCCTGCGAGTGGAACACTCAGGGTGTTGCTGTCGTCACCCCTTTTCCACATTCGGGGGGATTAAAACCTGAAGAGTTTTTCACATGACCAGTCCAAGGTTCGCAGATAGCCAGTGTCAGAACCAAGATTCCTTTATCAAACCACTCTCTTCCTTCCCATCCAACTCCAGCTCTTTTTTGGATCCTGTTAAATGGCACAGGCTGGACTTGAGCGAAGTTTTTTTAACTTATAAAGCAGCCTGACTTTGTACATGCTGCAAAGAAAGTTTTATTTTTATTATGACATCCTGCAAAGCATTTGCTTTATTGGTCTTGGAGATGGTTATGAGTACTTTGCCCAAACATACATAAATGATGTGGTAGAACACATATTTATGTCCAGGTGACCCCAGAGTGCTCTTTGAGGTGGCTTGCAAAAAAAAAAAAAGAAAAATTATGTAGAAGATCAGTCCAAGTGACCCGAGAGGGGTCTTTGAGGTCGCTTTGAATATGCAAAGTTCAGTGGATAGAAGCTTTTACGGAAGAGACAACAGGTGGTGTGGAAAAGGCTCCAGGACTAAAAAGCTGAGTGTTGTGAATTTCACTCTTGGCTCCGCCATCCGCTGGCTAGCCTTTCAAGTCAGTAAGCCTCTCTGGGCCTCCTTTTCCTTTCCGTAAAACAATATATAGTGTTATCTAGCTCGTGTTTCAAGTTGAGTATCCTTCATTTGAATTGCTTAAGAACAGAAATGTTTTGTATTTTATAGTTTTTTTGGGTTTGGGGATATTTGCGTATACATAATGAGATATTTTGGGGATGGTACCCAAATCTAAACACAAATTCATTTGTGTTTTATATACACCTTATACACGTAACCCTAGCTTGAAGGTAATTGTATACAATATTTTTAATAATTTGTACATGAATTAAAGTTTGTATACATTGAACTATCAAGCAAAGGTGTCAGGTGTGGAATTTTTTACTTGTGGCATATCAGTGCTCAGAAAGTTTCAGAGTTTTTAGAGCATTTCAGAGTTCAGATTTTCAGATGAGAGATATTCAGCCTGTGTCTCTGTTGATCATCCGAACGATCCTGTGCAGAAGATAGGTCACAAATTATAAACTGTTTTACTGAAGTGGAAACGGTCCAAAGAAGTTAGATGACCTTTCGTTACTTGTAAGTGGTGGAGCCAGAAATAGGACCCGAGACGTCTCAACTCCTAGTCCAATACCTTTTTCAACCTCCCTGCCAGTTTTGACCTGGAGCAGCTCATAGATTTTGGTCATCCAGTTCTTCATGTGGTGCCTACTAGAAGTTTATTTTATTTGATACCATTGATTAAATTATCCCAAAGCAACCAGTTTACTTCAGGTAAACTCTGTGGGGTTAAGTTTTGCTGTTACACAGCTTGAAGTTATATTATACAGAAGGTGTTGATAAAGATCTGTTATTTGACTTGGGAGTAGGTAGTGAGGGATATAAAAGTGAAAAAAAAATTTATTCAACTGATAGACTTTTTTTTTTTTTTTTTGGAGATGGAGTTTTGCTCTTGTTGCCCAGGCTGGAGTGCAGTGGCACCATCTTGGCTCACCCATGTTGGTCAGGCTGGTCTCAAACTCCTGACCTCGTGATCCACCCGCCTCAGCCACACAAAGTGCTGGGATTACAAGCGTAAGCCTCTGCTCCAGGCTGCTGATACACTTTTAAAGGAAGGCCACTTTGGCAACAATTGATTTGAAAATATAAAAAAGTGATATCATCAGGCCAGCCATGGAAATGAAAGAGAATAATGGTATAATATTTGTGTTGAATATGCCATTAAATTAAATCTTGCCAAAGGCTGTATGACATGAGAATATGCAAGCAACTGAATCCCTTGTTTACTAGTTTGTGAGCCCTTGACTGAATTACTTGATCCCCCTGAGTCTGACTCAACTGTCAAAGAGGGTGATGGTGATGATGGTTCTAGCAGTTTTACAGAGTTCTGAAGGATTCAGTGAGATACACACGTAAAGCCTAAAGCACACCTGTAGGGCTTGCCATTCTCTCCAACCACTTGGTTTCAATACAGGTATATTTGTTTTATGAGCTGTTTCTGCAAAGTCATGGACAAATCTAATTTTACAAAATATTTTCATGCATTATAGGAGAGTCTATTTAAAATATTTTGAATAATTTGTAAATAAATCATCACTCATCTTTACTTTTTTTTGTAAATCTGCATTTTTTGCATAAAATGATGGGTTTTGATAAAGCAGTGAGGAGGTGCATTTATTCGAATAATCAGGGGTACCCCAGACTGAATAGAGCGCTTTCCTAACTTGTTTAGACAAGTCGCCACTTCTTGTGTTACAGATCAATAAAATAAGAACTAGTTGAACCAGATGGCCTTAAGGTTCTTTGTAGATGTGGCCTTGGAATTTGTGACTTTATCTTGGGACATCACAGTGGAAGGCCCATAAATTTTTATAGAACAGGAACTGTGCTTTTTGTATTGGCTGCCGTGGAGCCATTAGGTGCCCTAATAAGTAGCAAGTGGAATGCTAAATATAAATGCTAAGTGACTTGCAGGAAGAAGAGGACATTTTAAAAATATATATATATTTTATTGCGTTTTAGATTTTGGGGTACATGTGAAGAACATGCAAGATTGTTGCATAGGTACATACGTGGCAATGTGGTTTGCTGCCTTCCTCCCCATCACCTTTATCGGGCATTTCTCCCCATGTTATCCCTCCCCAACTCCCCACCCTCTGCTGTCCCTCAGAAGAGGACATTTTTTTTTTTTTTTTTTTTTTTTTTTT